CAACCTCTTAGAGCCAAGGGACTCGACATCGTCTCACGGAACTTCAGGACCTCACAAATCATATGCGTTGTTTTGCAAACGCCCATCGTCATAAGCGCAGAGCAAGACGCGCCTCACGACCTCAAAATACATGGTCTGGCACGACGCACGCGCGCGGTTGATTGCCTGCGCCGCGCTCTCAGATGGGCCCACGACGTCGCCCATCTCTGGCTTGTACGGTGCCCCGAGCATGGGCGCGCATGTTTCGCGCGTGGCCTTCAGGCGATCTCTCGTGGATCTCATTGGCCAAGACGGGCCACCCTTAATGCAAAACTCTTCGATCGCGTCGCATCGCATCCTCACGACCTCGCTCGGTGCACTAGTCATGGACATGATCCTCCTTTCCGAGAAGCTCATTTTCTCCGCCGTCTCCTGGGTTGTTTCGGCGCTCTCCACGACGCCCCGAAGCGCCTCGCTCACGGCCAAGCTCGCAGAAGCAATGGTTCAGAGACTGCATGGGGAGAGACCCAATTCACAGCACATTGGCGCGCAAAGAATACATGCGCGAGACCCAGCTGCATTGCGCGGCTGAGATGCGCGGCTCTACGCAGGCGCAGCTGCGCCAGACGGGCGCGGCAACAACAACAACAACGACGACGACGACGACAACAACAACAACAACAAAACGCGCGCGCGATGTCCGACGGCAAGCTTGGCTAGAAACCGGCGGCGGCCGCCACTGAGCAGACTGCGCTCTGTCTCGAGTGGGCGACGCCCGCGGCGACGCCGACAGCGAGCCCTTCAAAATGACGAACGAGCAACACACACACCCATACCCCTAGGGGGGTCGTTGGGAGGAGGACTGGCTATGGGTATAGGTGCGGGTTGTCGGACCCCCGGGGGAACGCTCCCGTTCGAGCGGGGACCCCCATCCGACAAGCACGCACCCACAAGCCCTCTCCGACCTCTTTTTGGGTACGGGCGCGTGTTGCTGGTTCGCCATCAAAACGAGCAGGCACTGCTGTCAATCTTCGGGGCCCCTCCTCCTCCTCCTCCTCCTCCTCCGCCTCCGCCTCCTCCTCCTCCTCCTCCTCCTCCTCCTCCTCCTCCTCCTCCTCCTCCTCCCCCTCCCCACTGGGATGGTCTTCGCGCCCATCCCACTCGCGCTCACGTCGGCCGCGCCGACGGCCCCGCGCGGCCCAGGCGCGGCCGCCCCCCGCGCGCACGACCCAGGCACGGCCAACCCGCTATACAACCCAAGGCGAGAGGTTTAAGTCGGGCCTGTCACCCTCCAGGGGGATTTTCGACGAAGAATAAAGAATACCCCCAAAAATAGTCAAAATGCAATCCAAAAGTAGTCTGGGGACTGTTTTTGGAGTATGTGTTGACCTTTTTCGTGCATTTTGGGGTACTTTTTCATTTTTCGGCGAAAATCCCAGTGTAGGGGGGACACGCCCGACATAAGGCCAGGTTTGTCTTTGGATGATCTTGGACCGCGCGGACCTCCCCCCCGAAAAGGGGTCCCCGGCGGGGCTCTGGGGCGCCCCCTCAGAGGGTGCCGCGAGATTTCGGGTCTCTGGAAGTCCCTGCCAAGCCGTTCAAAATGGTCGGCGGCGTCCCCAAGAGACCCCCAAGACGGTCCAAGATGGACCCCGGCGGCCCAGGACCCCTGCTGGTCGCCCGAAGGCGGCCCAGCATCGACATCCCAGGCACGAGGCATGCCAAAAGCTCACATAAATCCGCAAACTTCAACGCAAACGAACAAGCAGCAACAACGCTCCATCAGAGCCCCGAATCATCAGGGGTAACTCGGGTCAGGGCTAATTCGGGTTCGTTTTTCGGGAGTCCGAACCCGAGTTATCCCGGACCCGAGTTACCCCGGATATTTCGGGCGTCCAGAGCCCCGAATCATCAGGGGTAACTCGGGTCAGGGCTAACTCGGGTTCGTTTTCCGGGGTTCGTTTTCCGGAAACCCAAACCCGAGTTACCCCGGACCCGAGTTACCCTGGATAATTCGGGCGTCCAACTCCACGCATCAGCCAGATCTTGGGGGAGGGGGGGGGGGGCCCTGCAGATTTGCACTGCAATTCTCCTGCGATGGCGCTGGAGAGCCCCACCTGCGCGGGAGGGGGGCAGGCCGCGCAGCGCTACTCCCCTGGAGAGATAAGCGCCAGACCCGATGGCGCCCGACGACCATCGGCGGGCCACTGTTCTCTGCTCGCCGCGAGCTCCGCGTTGATCTCTCGCGCACGGCGCTCGGTGAAAGGAGTAAACTCAGGAGGGGAAAACACACACAGACACAAGTAATCGTCGACTCCCCAGAAAATATGGGAAAATACGGGAAGTGGAGGGGGGAAGACAAAAACTGGAAAAATATGGGAAGATATGAGGAATAGTTCTATTTGTGTGTATCTATTTGTGTGTCCTGGGGCCCCTGCATAAACGCGCAATGCAGGAGCGAGAAGAAACAATGGTGTTCGGGCAGCCAACGCCTGGGCGAAGCCCTTTGAGGACTGCGCTGCAGTCCTGTAAGGCCCATGCTCAAAGATGTCCCCGCGCGCGGGGGGCGGCCCGCGCGGCGCCGCTCCCCCGGGGAAATCGCCTGTCGAGAATATCGCGCCCAGCGAACATTAGCTCCCGCGGCGCGTCGTCGAAGGTTCTTTGAATACCAGCCCTTCCTCTTCCTCTCCCTCGTTCTCCCCCTTCCTCTCCCTCGTTCTCCCCCTTCCTCTTCTTGCAGGGCCCGCGCTAATTCCAATGGTGGGCAAAGAGATGCGTGCCCCATCCTCCGAATAATTCCCCGCCCGTTCACGCCCGCTTGTCTAAGCCCGCCCGCCCCCGCAAAAAAAAAAACAGCGAAGGGAAACATGTTCAATCATATTTAAGCAGCATGCACTGTGAGGCGAAGGCTAAATATATGTTTGACCGTTCTCTCTAAGACGATGCCCCAGCATTGCCCTGCGCGGTGGGCAACTCACGAGGCATAACTCCCGAGGAGAATTAACCGGCCAAACATATTGCACCAGAGAAAAAATTGGAGGGCAGGTTCTTGTCTGCCCGCCGCGAGCGCCGCTCAAGCGCGCACAGAACGCTTGATGAAAAGAATGGCAATTCAGCGCATGAACAGATAATGGGCGAACCCCTAGAAGATTGCATCCCAACTCTATGCAGAGTATTATCAAAAACGCCGCCACTGGGGCCTTCGGTGGAGCTCCGGGGCCGCGAAACGTTGCGTTGGAAGGGGGAAACGCATGTGAGCTCCACCGGTGGGGCCTTGGGTGGAACTCCCTCTGAAGCCAGGCTTAGCAAGAGAGCTTCAAGGTTCAGATTTGAGCCGCAACGGGCACCCCTCACTGCACTCTCACACAACCCTCATTGCACATATCCTCCTGCGCCCAGGGTAGCCCAAAACGGATTACTCCGCAGAAAAACAAACAAACAAACATTGCCCCGCGCGCCTAGTGATAGAGGGACAATAATATCCGCCGCCGCCGAGACGAAGAGGTTTTAGGACCAGTGCTATTCACCGCCGAGAGATTAGGGGGGGCGGGGCTCAAAATTAAATACCCTTTAAGGTTCAATCTGTCCTTGGACCTGGTGAGGACCCCCAGAGGCCGCAAGTGGCCAAAAGCCTGCCGTCGCGATTTCTTTACACAGCGAGGAAGTCAGAGAAGGCTCGCTCCTAGCTCCTAGCCCCTGCCTCTGCGCTGGATATTCTTGAGCCCCCGTCGAAGTCGTCTGGCGCCCCGGGTTCTTAGGCCGGCAAGGGTCCGCCGGGGGGCCGAGGTGCCACATAGCGCGGAGCAACCCGAACGAGGTGAAGCTGCTGGTGGCGGACAGGACGGCGCCGGGCCGGCGTGGAGGGCCACGTCGATTTCGGTGCGATCGATCCGACTCGATGCCGATGCCGGCCTGCTCGATCCGATCCCGGTATGCTGGCGACCCGGATGCGGCCCGAGGCTCGCACGTCGCTGCTGTGCGCCCTGGCGCGGCGGATGTGATTCGGTTCCGACGCCGATCAGTCAGGAGGGAAAAAAAAAAAAACGCACAGACACCATGGTTTGTCGATTTCCAGGAAGGTACTGGACAATATGGGAAGTGGGGGGGGAAGAAATAAAAAAGCCCAGAAGGTAGAGGAGAACAGATGGGGAATCTTCTTTTGTTTTTTGGTGTGAATTTCTTTGTGTGTCCCAGGGCCCCTCCCATCAGGTCCGACCCGACGGCGTCGGGTCGGACCTGACTCAGGTCCGACCCGACGCACGCTCAGAACGCTCAGAGTCGACCCGGCGTCCCGAGCCACACGGCTGGCGGCGGGGCGGCAGGGCGTCGGCGGCTTTGGGGGCCCTCTCTGCCCCACGCGGACGTCCGGCGGCTCGAGGAGTAAAACGGCGCGAAGGTCGGGACAAAAATCGGATCGGGGTAACAAAGGATTGCAAAAAAAACCCAGGATTGCAAAAAAAACAAAAAAAAAAAAAAAAAAAAAAAAAAAAAAAAAGGATTGCAAAAAAAACCCAGGATGTTGTAATCCTTCGAAGGTCGGGACAAAAATCGGATCGGGGTAACTCGAAATCTCTGAGAATCGGCGGGTTTGGAGGACGTAGTGGGCGCCGCGGCCGCTCTCAGAGCCTTCTGGAACGCTCTGAGAGCGCTCTGAGAACGCTCTCTGAGAGCGATGTATCCCGATCCTATGGCCCTGTTTTGAGGAGACTCGAGACGGCCGGCTCCTCGCCGCAGCCGGGCGTCTGGCGCCCGGCTTCGGGCTCAGGGGGCCTTCGCCCGTGGTCGCGAAGGGATCCTAGACTTCAGTCGGGCCTGTCCCCCTACAGGGGGATTGTCGACGAAAAATACAAGGTACCCAAAAAATAATCCAAAAATAGTCTGGGGACGATTTTTGGGGAGTATTGTTTGACCTTTTCGGTGTATTTTGGGAGTATCTTTTCATTTTTCCTCGAAAATCCCCCTGAAGGGGGACAGGCCCGACATAATCCTGGACCAGCTCCGGTGGGCGCGAGCCCATGGGGAGCCGACCCGCCTTCCCGTGCCTCCGCCGGCCAGGGTGCAGGACCTGCGTCGTGGCCTGCCCAGCTTGCCGGCATTGGCATCATGTCGGGCGTGTCCCCTTACAGGGGGATTTTCCACGAAAAGTAAAAAATACCCCAAACATACCCCAAAAAAGGCCAAAAAATATTCAAGAAATAGTCCCCAGACTATTTTTTGACTATTTTTGGATATTTTGTTGAGGTATTTCTTATTTTTCGTCGAAAATCCCCCTGTAGAGGGACACGCCCGACATAACATTGGCATGGTTGATTGGGGTTCGCCAAACACCTTCGTTGTCTTCCATCGGCTGGTGTGAGTTTCGGAGTCGGTGAGTTCGCCGTTCCTGTAGATGATCGATCGTCGATTGGACCGAACTCCAGCCGATGTAGAGCACGTTTTCATCCGTTCAGAAAACTGGCGCACGCTGCAGAGCACGGTAGATCAGCAGAGACACATTGGACCGTGAAGTGCATTCATTCGTTCATTCCCTGGCCTCGCCCCCTTCCCCCCGCCCTTTGTTTCTTCTGGCCGCCAGGGCGCCCCTACAGGTGGGCGGGGTTGCCGCGAAAGGGTCCTGGTGTCGGGGGCCTCTCCTCCTTCGGGTGCGCGAGGGCAGCCCTCTCCAGAAGAGCTCTGCTGGGACCCAGGATAAGGGGCAGTAGGGGACCAGCGAGTATTTTTCTCTCAGCGCCGCTGGAAGTTGCTGTCCGGAGACTGGCCTCAAGATCCGCCCAGATCTGCGCTGAAAATGGCTTGTGCCAGAATGTTGCGGTGCCAATGCTGACTGAACATGAGCAGCAACAACAGTTCGCCGCCTACCCCAACCTGCGGGCATGAACTTTGGATTTGGCGTCCTCCAGCGCAGCGCCACCGTCCTCCTCGTCCCCCACCCCCTCCCTCGTCCTCGCCCTCGTCCGCCTCCGTTCGCCCCGTCCTCCCTCTGGTCTCTCCTCCTCCCTGCCCGCGCCGCCTTGCAGTTCTCGTCTGCAGTCCTGGGGGAAGCACCTCCTCGTCCCTCTCGCGCGCCTCCACCCCCCCCCCCCGCCCTGCACGGCATGGCATGGCGTAGAAGAGCAGAGTAGATCGTAGCATGCCATAGCATGGCGTGGCATTGCGCAGTGAAGCATTGCATCACAAAGCATTGCAACGCAAAGCATGGCATCACACAGTGGCGCAGAACACAACACCGCACAACATGTCATGGCATGGCGCCGGGTTCCTTGGAGGGTAAGTGATCGTATTCGAGACATGTTGGCCAGTCTGGAGTCGTCGCTCAATGTCTAGTGTCTCAAGCTCCCCGAAAAGCTCCACACAAGGCGGGCTTTATGAAAAGCACACGCTGACTCTGCTTTCAACATCGCCTTCTCAAAGCAGAGACTTGGCTCCCGCTTGATACTGCTGCGGCCCAAGAAATCAACAAATTGCCACCGAATATGTAATCACTTCCCTTTGTTTTTTTCGGAGGGACATTCTTTAGATTTTGGGGCTTATTTGGAAGAACCGAAAACGCCCGCGCTGCGGCGGGAGCACGATTTGAAACAACCAGAGGCGCAGAAATGGGGCCAGCGCTTCAGCGGTAGCAACATATTGAACAACGCCAAGCGGAAACCCAACTCCCAGGAGTCCTGTGTGTAAAAAAACCATACGCGGAGGGGTGCCAGACATCTTCCGGACGTCATCAGGGGAGAGAGGAGAGTTTATTTTGTGTAAGTGTAGAGGGAGGGGGAGGAGGTGGGACGGATGAGGAGGGGGAGGCGGAGGCAGAAGGGTTTTCGTTAACGATTCAGGGTGAGGAGGATGAGGAGGAGGACGACGACGAGCAAGAGGACGACGATCAAGAGGACGACGAGCAAGAGGAGGAGAAGAAGGAGGAGGAGGAGGAGGGGGAGGAGGAGGAGGAGGAGGAGGAGGAGGGGGACGAATCCATTCTCCTGCTCGCACTGTCGGGGCTGCACGCGTGAAATTACCACTGCACGTATTCCAGGACGTTCTGCACGCTCGCCACGACGGCCAAGTTCACATTCGGGAACTGGGCCGTGCAGGAGCTGCCTGGGGCGGCGAGGAGGATCAAGAGAAGGATGTGGAGCAGATCTGTCCCTGCGATCTCCAATACCACTTTGTCCAGATAGCGCTCACATCCGGAATATCTTTGATTTCTGAATTAGATTCGTTACCGTCAGTGCGACTTTCTCATTGCGCGGTCGCCATCTTCTCAGACGCTGGCCTCGCACGTCCCAGTTTCAGAGAGGAGGTGGGGAGCGGGAATGGGGGAGGAGGCGGCAGGAAGAGGATGATGATATAGACGTTGACGTTGATGAGGAGGAGGAAGAGGAGCAGGAGGAGGAGGAGGAGAGGAGGAGGAGGAGACGCTGGAACAGGCGGGGAGGAACGAGGTGAAGACGGAGGAGGGGGAAGCAAGCGGCGGGGGGACCAGACGGGTCAGGGAAGGAGGACAGGTGCGGGGGGAGGCTTGCGGGGGAGCGGGGGGACGACGATCGGGGTGACGAAAGCGTCGGAGCGAGGGCAGAGGACGAGGTGTTCTAGAGGATGCGGCAGTGTTGTTACTACAGCCTCGGGACAGTTCTCTCTTCAGAACTGGCCCACGGGCCGACGAGGGCGTGCAGCCGGTCACTTGGTACGGTAGGTTTGCGTCGTGTCGACCAGCGGCGGCGGGTCGACCACCTCCTCCTCCTCCTCCTCCTCCTCCTCCTCCTCCTCCTCTCCTCCTCCTCCTCCTCCTCCTCTCCTCCCCTCCTCCTCCTCCTCCTCCTCTCCTCCTGCGTCGTGTCGACCAGCGACCCCAGCGCGGGCGTTCAAGGTTGAACGCCGCCGGCGACCCAGAATCGATCGACGTTGAACGATCGGACGTTGCGGCAGCGGCCGATCGTTCAAGGTTGAACGATCCCTGCGGTGTCAAAAACCAACGCTGGGGTCGGCACGACACGAACCTGCCGTGATGAGGGTGAGGCGATGTTGGTTTGCACCACATCGCTTACACCACATTGTTGTCACTACACATTGCATGGCATTACGCCACGTAGCTTACATCGCCCAGTTTGCGCCACATAGCTTGCACCACATAACTTGCCCCGCATAACCGGCGCCATGATGCTTGCACTGCATGGCGTACGCCGCATATGATGCACCCGCACTCCACTGCTCGGCGCTGCCCTCAGTGCTTTTCGCGGCCGCGGCCGCCAACTCGAGAGGACTTTGGACGCCGTGTTTTTGTATGTACCTTGGTTTGGGCTCCTCATCGCTGCGGTCATCGGACTCGGCTCTTGGTGGTGCTTGGGTGCGCCCTGTGGTTGGTGCCCTTCGCAGCGAATCAGAACAAACCGGACAAGCGAATCAGACTAAAGCAGGCATCTTGTGAGGACGTCACGCGAAAGCGCGCTCAAACCAGGTCAAAGTAAGAACGCCTCCGGCAAAACCGCGCCCAAAGCAGGCACAGCCACGCAAATCGAAAGGTCAGGCGACGCCGCACCCAAATCATACGCAACTAGGGAAGTTCTGATCAAGCGAAACTGCGCCCCAAACCAAGCCAAACCAGGCAAATTGCAAGCCAGGGCCCAAAACAGGCAAATTCTGTGGAAGTCAGGCGGGGCGCTCTGCCAAACCAGACCGTACCAAGCTAAACCAGAGATCAAACCAGGCAAGTTCCCAGGAAATTCTGATCGACACGTCCCGACTCAAGCTCCACCCACTCTTCCTGGTAAAATGCATTCAATTGCATGGGTGGCCCCAGGGGGGGCCCTAGAAATTCATCAGGGGTGGGGCGGCTGGATCGCAACAGCATGCATGCGACTGGGGCGCAACAGCATGCAGTTGTCTTCCAATTGTTGTCCGGGCTTCGGTGTGGCGCTCGGAGGGGTGCTGCCGAGGCTGCAGAGAAACCCTGCACAGCCGACGGGCTGGTTTCAACCACATGCCGTCAGGAGAACGCCGTCAGAGGGACGCCCAAAGCAGTCGGGGGTGGACAGAACCCCCAACAGTGACACGTCGATTAGTGAATTGTCCGTTTTCGGCTCTCGAGAGGGCGCCGCGGCCGTTATTTTCCAGGCTTGCGCCCGCCAGGTTTGGGCCTCAGGTCGTTTTCACTAAACCACGCTTTACTAAAGGGGGGTCTGTCCATCCCCGAAGCAGCTTACATCGGAGATTGACAGAAGCGCCACCCTGCCATGTCGATTGGCGAACTTCTTTCGCACGGGTCCCGAGAGGGTGGTCGCGGCCGCGCGTGTTGTTGGTGCGGGCCCGGGCGCTCTCCGCCGCGGGAGTTGTATCACACGTTTACCCGTCCACCCCCGATCGCCGGGTTGCTCGAGGCTTCGCCGTGAGGATGACGTGGACGAGAGGGGGCGGGAGGAGGAGGAGGAGGAGGAGGAGGAGTAGGAAAAAGAAGAGGAGGGGAGGAGGAGGCGGAGGAAGAGAAGATGGACAAAGATGAGGAGCAGGGAGGAGGAGGAGGAGGAGGAGAGGAGGAGGAGGAGGAGGAGGGAGGAGACGGGAAGGAGGAGGAGGAGGAGGAGGAGGAGGAGGAGGAGGACGAGGAGGAGGAGGAGGAGGAGGCGGAGGAGGCGGCGGAGGAGGAGGAGGGGGAGGAGGAAGAGGAGGAATAAGAAGAGGAGGAGGCGGAGGCGGAGGAGGAGGAGATGGACGAAGATGAGGAGCAGGGAGGAGGAGGAGGAGGAGCAGGGAGGAGGAGGAAGGAGGGAGGAGGAGAGGAGGAGGAGGAGGAGGAGAGGAGGAGGAGGGGGAGGAGGAGGGGGAGGAGGAGGAGGAGGAGGAGGAGGAGGAGGAGGAGGAGGAGGAGGAGGAGGGGGAGGAGGAGGAGGAGGAGGAGGAGGAGGAGGAGGAGCGGGAGACGGACGAGGAGGAGGAGGAGGAAGGAGGAGGGAGGAGAAAGGAGGGAGGAGCCGCGCCAGGCTGAGCCCTGCGGCCACCGGTCCCATGTTCGGGTACCCCACGCCTGCCTCGGCGGAGCAGGGCCCCTGTCGTGGGACAGTGGGCTGGATTGGGGGCTGCCGATGGGCAGGGGGAGAGGCCCCGGGCCGAGGGCGGGCATGGGCCCCTCGACACGGAGCCTGGCGGCGCGCACGAGGAGGTGGAAGGAGGGGAGGGGGGAAGTCGCCGGCCACGCGTCTACAGTCGGGGCCCTGAAGAAGGAGCCCTTTTGGTTGGGGAGGGGCTCCGCGTTCCTTCATGGTTTCGCAGCTTGCCCCACGTTTTCCTTATGTCTTCGATGGGGAATCGAAGTTTAACTTATGGAGAAAAGGGGCCTCGTTCCTTATTTGGGGTTCCTTAGGTCAAGGCCCCGGCTGTACAGATCAGGCCCGCGCGCCTCCGAAAAGGCAGGGGTGCGTCCAAGAAGCCCTCCCCCCCCGCCCCCCTCTGCGCGTGGCTTGAGTGGCAATTGCGCCTTCCCCACTGTGGCGAGGGTTGGCCATGACGCAGCCCACAGCCACTCGTCGACACCAAAGCGCCGCCCCACCACCCCACTCCACCCCCTCTCCCTTGCAGAATGTGCATCGCCCTCATTTCCCCCCTCCTGATTCGTCTGCAGTTTGATCTACCCTTCTTCCCCTAGCAGGCGACTCCAGTCGTCCAGATCACTAGTTTGATCAACCCGCCCAGGGGCGACCGCCCAGGGGGGGGATGGCTGCGCCTTAAGACGCACAAGCCAACAATAAAAAAAGAGGAGGATGTGGAGGAGGATGAGGAGAAGAAGGACCAGGAGGAGGACGAGGGGGGGAGGGAGGAGGAGGCGGAGGAGGAGGAGGAGGGAGGAGGGAGGAGGGAGGAGGGAGGAGGGAGGAGGGAGGAGGAGGAGGAGGAGGAGGAGGCAAAGGAGGAGGAAGGGGGGAAGGAGGAAGGAGGAAGGAGGGAGGTGCCGCGCCAGGGGCTGAGCCTTGCGGCCACCACGGCCGAGAACACCGACAACTTCCTGGAGGCGCGGTGCTACAAGGCTTGGCCGACCCCTCTCTCTGTCGCGGCTCTTGGCCCCCCCTCCGCTTGGAACCCCTCTATGATCAATGCGCGGCGATGCGCGGGCAAGATTTATAATCGCTTCGCTCATTCCGCCGGCCCTCGAGCGCTCTGTGGGGCCTCTTTGAAGCCTCTTGGGGGCCTCTTTGGGGCCTCCTAGGGGCCTGGGGCCTCTTAGGGGGTCTCTTGGGGCTCCTTGGCGGCGCCCTGGGGCCCCCTTGGGCCTCTTGGGGGGCTCCGGGGGGCCTCTTGGGGCGGGGATCCGTGTGCGGGCAAGGTTGATACCCGTATCGTATCCACTGCGTCTCGGCTGTTCTGGGAAGGGGCGCCCACGGGCCGAAGCGCAGTGGGCACGGACACCCACTCCAGCCTCTGGGAGCAAGCTTCTATGCATGTCCACTGCGCCCCGCGCGTCTGGAGAAGGGAGCCCGAAACTCCTGGATGTGGGGAACAAGAAGTCACACAAACATAAAAGCTCGGAGGTCCGCGCGGATTGCTCGGATCGGCGCTGGACCCCCCTCCCTGGCGCGCGGAGCGCGCCAGGGGCGGCGCCGGAGGTGCCGCCGGGGAACCCCAGCGCCGATCCGAGAAATCCGCGCGGACCTCCGAGTTTTTATGTTTATGTTACTTTTTGTTCCCCTATGGATGCGGTGGATAAGGGTATACGTCTTGCGCGCACAATTCAGATCAACCTAATACCATCAAGCACGGCCCGCCCATCAGAGTCTCTCTCTCTCTCTCTTTCTCTCTCCCTCTCCCTCCCCATCAGATCTGTTCCCCCTGCTCGTGCATCAGTGCGCGCCCGCCGCCGTTCACGCTTGAGAGGGTACCGTGCGGGCCAGCTCGGTGCTCACAGCTCCGCGGCAGGCCGATCCTGCCTCGCAGCCCTGGCGAGAAGGGAGCCCGATCGTGGTGTCCTCCCCCATAGCGTGCCCCCCCCTGCATTCGACGTCGATATGGCGAGGTCCTCGGACGACTTCGTCGATGCTTGGAGGTTTAGGTCTTCCTGCCCAGGGGTTCCTTCCGGCAGCTGCGCCTCGCTGGGATCGTTCCACGGGGCCCGGATCGTCCCGAACGGCAGCAACCAGCCGCCAGGGCTGCTCTCCCCGCCCCCCCCCTACCTGCCTCCCCCCCCTTCGCCGGGCAGCAAGCGGGTCCTGTCCTGGAGGTTTTTCGGGGGCGGCCACGTGGGGGTGATGACCAGGGTGGGTGCATATCATGGCGGGGGCCATGACGTCTTCTCAGATTTCAGGGCGCCTCTTCGTTCGGAGGTTGATCGACCTCCTACCCTGACACGTCGATTAGCGAACTGGCCGTTTTCGGTTCGCGAGAGGGCGCCGCGGCTGTCATTTTTGCGGGTCCAGGTCCGTCGGTGTCGGTCCTGGGCCGTTTTCACTAGAGGGTGGTTACAGCCGGACCAAGGTATAAGATCGAGGTCGGTTCGGGGAGGGTACCCTAGTGTTCTTCGTGTTTGTTGGATGCTCTTGTGCATCCTGGGGAGGGTACCCTTGGATGTTCTGTGTGGTTGGGCTGGCGGAGGGTCTCAAGTTCTTGAGGGATGTTCTTCTGTCCTAGGTCCGACCGTACTAAAGGGAGGCTTGTCCACCGCCGATTATGATTTCAACATGTTCCTGAACCCGCCCCCCCTGTGCCGCGCCCCTGCCGGCGGCCATGATCTGCGCCGCCACGCCCCTCCTGGACTTCAGTCTGGCCTGTCCCTCTACAGAAGGAAGATTCACAACTAGTACCAAAGATTGTCAGGGGACGATTTGTCGACGATATTTGTTGACTCTTTGGGCGTACTTTTTTACTATCTTGTTCATGCTTCATCCAAGATCCGCCTGTAGCAGGACATGCCCGACCTAATCTTGGACGCCCCCTCCCTTCACCGAGCGAAGAACGGTATGAAATAAACTGTTTCGCTGTCGGGGGCGCCTGTCCCTGGGCGGCTGGAAAGTTTATACCCCTACGGTGCCACCGGAAGGGTATAAACTTTCCAGCCGCCCTGGGGCAGGTGTCCCCGACGGCGAAACAGTTTCTGTTATACCGTTCTTCGCCCGTGAACTAATCTTGGACGCCCCCTCCCTGGCCGCCCCCGAGTTCTGCGCCGTCCTCGGGCCCCGGAGGCCCTCGCCGAGCCCCAGGACTGCCCGAGAATCGGGGGCGGAAAAGAGGGGGGTGATGACTGGGGGGGGGTGGATATCATGGCGCGGGCCATGATATTTCCCCAGATTTCATGGCGTCTCTTCTTGTTTCATTACGTCCCTGGCCCCCCCGCTGGGCCGCGCACATGCGGCCGGTCATGACATGCAGCCCCCCCTCTTGAACACCCCCCTCTTGGCCGCTCCTGAATAGCATATGCATGTGTGTAGCTATAGTCAGAGCGTGAATTACCTACCCCGCTTTCGCTTCCAGGCATAACCAAGCCATACCACGCGCCTCCTCGTCAAGCGGCCTGACCAGTACAGGCTGCAGTTTGGCATCGTTTGGTATCTCTTGGAAGCGAGGGTGGTCAAAAGCGGGGTAGGTTTGTTTTCCCCCTATATAGACTCTGTCGTGCCCACCCATGAGTGTGTCCACTCATGAGTGGGTCCACCGTCGCGTCCCGCCCCAACGTGGTAGGACGGGCCGATGTTGTTGGGACAACCAGGCGATCATATCATCGCCAGCTACTAGGTCACGCGCCGTGGCTATGTTTTTTTTGCGTCGGAGTGTGGTCTTCCAGACTCCCCGGTCAGCCTCCTCCTCCTCCCCCTCGCTGCCTCCCCCCTTTTGTCGCTGCCGGTGCCTTTTCAATTCTGGCCGCCGGCAGGATTCGAGGCCTTCTTCTGCATGGGGCAGCCGACTTTGGCAACCGAGCTGCCCACTGCTCCCTCATTTGCGTTTCCTCCTCCTCCTCGAACGGCCTTACCTCGTCAAGCGGCCCCCCCGTCGGGCCGCGCACATGCCGCCAGTCATTATCCGCACCCCCCCCCCGCTTTGGCGCCCCCCTCTCTGCCGCTCCCGAGCGCACGGCTCGAGCAGAGCACGCCATGGGCCACGGGGGAAGGCTTCTGGGGGCCCAGGGCCCGCGTCCCTGCGTCGGGCGCTCGCTCCCTCCTCCCTCCTCCTCCCTCCCTCCCTCCTCCTCCTCCCTCCTTCTCCCTCCTCCCTCCCTCCCTCCTCTCCTCCTCCTCCCTCCCTCCTCCTCCCTCCTCCTCCTCCCCCCTCCTCCTCCTCCTCCTCCCCCCTCCTCCCTCCTCCTCCTCCTCCTCCTCCTCCTCCTCCTCCTCCTCCTCCTCCTCCTCCTCCCCCTCCTCCTCGGATCCCGCAGGATTTCCAGCTCCGAGGTGCGTTCGAGCAGTTGCGCCTCGCCGAGAGCCTTCCTCATGCGATCGCAAGCATGGATCAATGGGGGCGTGGATTGGTGACGGGTCCCGTTTCCATGGGAAATCGCGGGCTCCCACCGCCGAGCGAGGCGGCACCGGCCGCATTTTGGGGAGGGCACCTCCCTCGATCCGTGGCTCTGGCGACCGCGCGCCAGATCCATGGATCGCTAATCCATGTTTGCGCACCCCCGACTCAGAACCCTTGGTCACGGCTCGGGCTCCCTCCCCTCACGCCCGCCTGAGCGAGGAGGGTATCGGAAACCCATCCTATTTTCATGGTTTCGTGCCCTTCCCACCTCTCCAGGGAGGCCCCACCTCTCCAGCTTTTCCTTCGTGTTGATGTTGTCGTACCCCACGGGTTCCACGAAACCGTTTATATCTTTTTGTCCCACATACGGTTCGATCGACTCGATCACGACTTCCCGACGCTCCGGTGCGTCCCGATGCTTGCATGGCATTGCAGTGCAGCCGGCGCGGCCGATCCGATGCCGATGCGATCCGATGCCCGATCCGACGCACGTTCCGACTCGATCCGATCTCCCGGTTCGGTGCTGACTGATTTACCAATTCTTGGCGTTTCGCGTATCCCCACCAGCCGTCTTGTACACATGTGCACATTGCGTCTGCTGCAGCAGCAGGGCAGAGAAAAAGAGATGGGGGTCCTGTGAGTGGCGGTGGGTCTCTGGCAGCAGGCCCGTTACGGCCCGGCTAAACGCGGCCTGCGGGAGGGATGCCTCCGGGCCCACCGGCCCTGGTCGCATGCGGGGGCTGCTGTCCCTCTGGCCCGGGGCCTCCCGCGGGGGGTCAAGGCACCCTCGCATCCCCGTTCTGGCTGCCAAGGGCCTTTCTTCGCCTCCCCCCCGTGCTCGCCGCGTCTTGGCCGCCTCCGGACACTGATCTGGGACTGCAGTGTGGACGGACTGCGCGTCCCGCGGGTTCTCCTGTGGCTTGCATCCTGGCGCCGGGCTCCCTGGGGGGCTGCCGCTGGTCCCGGGTCCGCCCTCTGTGGCTCTGGTACTCTTGCATCCCGATTCTGTCGGTCAGCGGTGGCGGTGGCACCACCCACTCCATCGTGGTCCACAGGTGCCGGCGCTTTGCCGGGATGTGGGATGCTCAGTGGGTGCCCCCGTCGTCCGTGGCAGCGCTGTATTTTGGGGACTCACCTTTCACAGCGAGGTGTTCCCCCCAGGAGGCGCGCCCGACGCTGCCACACTCCAGCTCAGACCGCATCGGCGAGGTTCCGCCACCCCCCCCTCGATGACAGATGATGACGTCCCAGAGGGGAATCGAGAGGCGGTAGTGGATGGGAACCCTAGGGAGGGCCATGAGGAGGCTTATCAGCCCACAGATGCGGATTGCGTTGTCCACCCACCATGGGGACTGGCGCCTGTACCGCCCCACGCAGTGGCGGGCCAGATGACGAGGGAAGTGGCGACTTTACACATGTGACATTGCGGCTGTTGGCTGCGCCTCCCTCCTCCTCTATCAATTCAAATGTGAATGCGGCTTTTGGCTGCGCCTCCTTTCCTCCTCCTTCTCCTTTTTTCCGATACATGTGTACACTGCGGCTGTTGACTGCACCCCCCCGTTCCTCCCCGTAGTCACATTCAGC